CGAGAAATTCGAAGTGCCCATATCTTGTTCTGAAGGTTGTCTTCAGTAAGTCATCTGGATGGACACGGATCTGGCGGAAGTTGATCTTCGTGAAGAAACTTGCTTCACCCAAGCGGTCCAGAAGTTCTTCAATACGGGGCAATGGGTAGCGGTTCTGAATGGTTGCCTTGTTCAATGCCCTGTAGTCCACATACATTCGGATGCTGCCATCCTTCTTTGGAACAAAGAGGACAAAAGCTCCAAAAGGTGAAACTGAGGGTTAAATATACCCATGCTCCGTCAGCTCCTTCAACTGAGTCTTCAACTCGTCCAATGCTTGAGTAGACATCTGGTAGGGTGCTCGATGAGGTGGCTCTATCCCAGGGAGTAATTCAATGCGATGGTCCACGGCACGTTTCGGTGGTAGACCTGGAGGTAGCTCCGCTAGAAAAACATCCGAATATTCCACCAGTATCTCCTTGATTTCTCTTGGAAATGGTGTATCAATCTTGGCATCATCCAACTCCACGATTGCATTCACTTCCTTGTACTCTTGGTTTTCTGTCTTGTCTTCGCTGATTGGCCTCACAATAGCCATATACACATCTTCATGTCGAGCAAGCTGCTTCACCTTCTGGGCTGAGACTTGCATACTCATCGCCCATTTCCCGAAGATACTAGAAAGTTTGGCACACTCCCTTATAGGGTAGTCGCTCTTCAAAACCACCGTCTTCTTCCCCACTTGAATGCTAATGGTGCCGGCTCTCCAATCAATGCTTGGATTCAATCTATCCAACCATGACTTCCCCAAGATCGTATCATACTTGGGAAGTTTCATCACATGGAAATCCAAGAACTCGGCATGCTCTTTATAGCTCACTTGTGCATCTTTCACAATGGGATTGGATGCTCTTATTAATCCATCCGCCAAATGCACTTGTATCTGTTCATGACTTCTTACTATTCTCAAGTCATGCTCACTCACAAAATGCTCACTGATGAAGTTTCCACTGGCTCCACTGTCTACAAGAAATTTGACAGGGACGCCATTAACTTCTCCCGAAATACACAACAGTTGTGTCATTGACATTGACACACCTGATGCTGCCTTATCCATGGACTTCCCAACGTAGCATTCCATCTCACAGGTATCGCCATCGCTAGGTACATCCTTTGCAGTGGTGGATTCTTGAGGACAGACTGGTTGAAGTGTGTCTACCGGAAGACTCGCTTCTCCGGACTCAACACATCCTGGTTTCTTGGTATCTTGATCAGAGACACCAACCAAATCATGATTTGCAGCGGCAACCTCATGTACCGCCTCCCTTTTAGGAACAGCATCCGCGCGCGGGGCTTTAAAATGTAGCATGCTTCTTGCTTGGTCAGATCCAGCTTTCTCAACAATCTGAGCGATAGACCTATACTCAATCACTGGCTCTGACACTTCTGCGGGTCTAGCATCTTCAAGAACAGTCGATGGCAGAATCTCGGTCCCTTCCGCTACCATCACTTGGCCATCCTTGTCATCTGGCCCTTTTATTGAGTCGGGTGTTGTCCGGTCGTTGTCCCCGATATTCAACGACCGTTGAAGTTTCCCTGCCTTCCTCCAGACTTGTTCTTCTTCATGGGACAATCCCTGCTTCAGTGTCCTGCGTTGACCTTGCGGCAACAATAGCACCCCTTGTTGTCTCGAAGGTACTTCTTCTCTTCTGGAGTCAAAGGTTTCCTCTGGACGTAGCTTATCCCAATTTCCATCGGCTCAGGTCCTCCAGACGTCTTCAGTTGAAAGGTCCGCGGTCCACCAACGTTTGATCCACCATGCGACGAATTGCCCTTGAACCAACTTGGCTTACCACCCACGCCTTGGCCAGAAACTCGAGTAAGCACATTGTAGGCTCGGTCGGCATATCTTGCAACTTCTTCAAACGTCGTTGGCTCTTTCAACTCCACTTGTATCCAGACATTCACATTCAAAGCCCGAAGGAACTTGTCCAGCTTTTCCGCCTCTGAGAGATTGTCAATCCGAATACACACTTGCCGAAACTTATGTAGAAAATCCGGCACAGGCTCCTTCTCCTTTGCCGGAGGGCATACAACTCATCCCTCACCCGGCAAGTCAGATTGTCCATTCGGAATTGTCAACGCAGATCCCTCTTGAACTCGTCCCAGTCGTTCACTCGATTGCCACTCTTGCACAACTCACACCACCACATGGCAGCATAACCCCTCAACAACGATGCAGCATATCCAACACGAGAGGCGACAGGTATTCCAGTCAACGACATGTGCTCCTCTACTTGGAACAACCATGTGTCAACATCACGATGCTTGGCACCATCATAAGTCTCAGGCTTCTCCACTTTCACGCCCATTGGTGCAACTCCACGACTAGAAATCAACTTAGCAATCAGCTCGGCCATATCCCAAGCTAGAGCACGAGATCGATGGTCACCTCGATACTCGGCATCCTGCCTTTCCTTATGCAGCATGGCCATCTCCCGCTTTAGTTGTTGATTCCGTTCACGGGTCTGGTTGACCTCCTGCATCAACTTCTGATAACGCTCCTCCGCCTGACGAGCTTCCTCCTCTCCCATCACAAGTGGTTGACCATCATGGTGTGCCATAGAGATGGATAGATTGCCCCTTCAATCCTCTTGGTCGCTTGGCTCCGAAACCACTATAGAATCCCCAGGATAACGGCGACCAGATCGAGGCAAAATGGTGGCAGTCGGCAATGTATTACAATGGTGGTGGCCCCCCTGGTCCAGGCAAGGTCGAGTGCACTAGCGAACTGAGACAAATGGCCTATGGGGTGCCCACTTTTATAGGTGGCGCGCTCCCCCTCTTGTCATGACACCCTCGGCCTCCTGTAATGTCCAATACACTCCTGTAATGCCACCTTGGCCCTTGGAGAGCCACTCACATGGTCCCTTGGCCCCTTGGCGTACCCCTAGTAATGCCAGGCGGCTTCTCCAAGCTATACCACGTCCCTCCAAGGTACCATGGCCGTAGGTGCGCTTGAACCTATGATCCAATATAATGCGGGTATCTGACAGGTGCCCGTACTGCCAGATCAACCCCATAATCCCTTGGAGTGTACTCCACCACTTCCTGGCGACTCCCATCCGCCCATGACCATGCACAACATCATACCGTATTTACCCAGTATTAGTAGGCACCCCCTATTAGCATCCACCCCCCTCTTTGGGGGTCAAACCCACGTTAGTATCCATAACCCGGTGTTAGTATCCACCCCTAAACCTCATCACAGCAAAAACGACGCAAGGCACGGATGGTGGCAAGGGAAGTCGGGGGCTGGTGTTGGACCTTGCTGCCCAGTCTGGACCAAACCACACTCCCTGTGATTCGCACATCGACAGGGATGATCGGGTTGGGGTGGATGTTGTTGAGGGAGAATTTGGAAGGGTGCCCGTCAAAGGCCGCATGGTCGACTGGCCATTGTTGGCGTTCTTAGCACGGAATCGCGAGGCAGCGACCAATGCCTCAAGGCCCGATGATAGAAGCGGTCAAACCCCCCCTAGTCCCTGGATTGAGCCAACCTTCTCCCCGGCCGGCCTGAGCAGGTTCTGGCCTGGCGCCTGCCACAGGCCCTCCAAGGGCCCAGCACCAAGAATGGGCAGGCGACGGCATTGGTCAGGGCAACTGCCGTTGCGAGGCCCTGCCTTGCAAAACTGGCTGTAAAACGTTGTGAAGGTGGGGCAAAACACATCTCACTGGCTACCAAGCCACATACCCAATTACAGATCCCGCAGCCTTCCCAGTTGCCATCAGTGAAGGAAAATGCCGCATGTCAAGCATCGTCGCGACATGGGCCCCAGCAAGTCAAGACCCATGTCAGGCCTTGTTCGTTGCATTGCAGAGGCAAATGCGCCTTGAGCATTCTAGCGAACACCTGACGGCCCCAATTGCCAGTCGCCACTAGCTGGTGCAGCCCAAGTCAAGGCCGCCAGTTCCTGTGAAGAGGCTGACAATATTCCACACTAGCATTGCCATTTTTGTCGATTTTTGGGCATTTCACAGCCTATTTGTTAAAAATTTCTTTGTCTACTCTTTGGAATTAAGGGTATAAACGGCGTTAGTATACATGACCCGCTATTAGTATCCACAACTCATTTTGGAGGTCCAACACATGCCTACTAATACTGGGTAAATACGGGTAATAGACTATAATGTTCATAATCACACCGGTTCCATCAAGGAATAATGCCCCAAATGGCCAGAAATGGGCTAAATGACCTAAATTGCCTTAATGACCTCATTATACCGAACATTGGCCCATTAACAAGATGAATGTGGCGATCATGATTAACACATTTCGAGACTCAGATGAACGCATCTAACTCATCTAAGTCATCTAATTACCCGTCACAGTACAGTACAATGTCCAGTCACTACACCCAACCAGCCATACCGCACATCAGAGATGCCCACTCATCGCCACAATACAACCCACTCTATAACACATATATTAAAGGTGCCCATACACTCAATAGCAATGCATAAATATTTCAGGTGTGAGCGCGACCCTAACCATAGCATTTGCCTCTGAATCACATGGCATCTCCCACAAGAATCAAAATGATGCTCACAGAAGTCCCATCACAAGAGAAATAATTTTGTGAATTCTAAAACGCATTTTTCTTTTCTTTTTCTAAATTCAGAATGACTTGCATATAAACAATATTCTTAAAATGCATACAAGTCGCACACCATAATGTATGAGTGATCCACCCAGTGAAACGGTGGTCATTATGCGGTGTTGCGAACACTCCTAACGCAACTTTATCAGATGTTCCCGAGCGAACATCGATATGGAACACTTTTCCATATCCAACTCTTGCACCCTTTTTGGCCCCGTGCTTGTCGTTGTATCTGTGCAGGCTCGGCCGTTGGGATCTCTTCATGTCGCCGGCTTCCCTCCTTTTCGCGTTGGGTCGTCTTGGACCAGCGCTGGCCGGGTCAAAGGCACCTACTGCGGCTGTTCACCCCCCGGAGTCGCCATGTCACACCGTCCCGCGGTCCTGCCGGGCTCCCCACCTCATGAGCAGTCCCGTGGGGCAGGCGCTACCAAGCCCATGGCAGCGCCGCGGACCTGCCGCAGGCCCAGGGACGGCCAGCGCTTCAGGGCGCAGGCCGCGGCGGCAGTGGAGGCGGAGACAAAAAGGGCGCTGATACGTATCGGCACGCGCGGCAGCCCGCTTGCGATGGCGCAGGCGTACATGACGAGAGACCTGCTCAAGGTGGGTGGCTGACGGGTTCGTCCATCAGCAAAGAAAGTGATGGAATCCGATGGCGTCGTCGTGCGAAAGGCGCTTGGGCAGGATTTAGCTTCGTCGGCATACATTTCGCTCGGTGCAGCCGATAACGGCCGCCGCCGGCGCAGTCGCCTTGTTGCTTTGGGTTCCCTTAGGGTCGCACGCCTGACGCGTTTGGAAGAGGCGTGTTCGGTGATGCCCTGTGCGATGGTTCTGCCACTCAGGAGGCGTTCCCCGAGCTCTCGGAGGATAACGCGCTCGAAATCGTCATCATCAAGACCACCGGCGACAAGATATTGAACCAGCCGCTGGCTGACATTGGTGGCAAAGGACTCTTCACGAAGGAGATTGATGAGGCGCTGCTCTCTGGCAGGATAGACATCGCGGTGCACTCCATGAAGGTGGGGTGTGCGTTGCGATTGCAGGCCTGTCTTCTTGCATCAGGGACATCCCAAAAGCGGTCCAAGAGCTGACGAGCATGGGATTCTGTGAAATTCACAAGTGGACTGCCATGAAGTCCTGCAGGGAACCTTGATGAGCACCTTGTCTTAATCAACACCAGTTTTGCGGCCATAGGCTTCTGTATGTTACTCTGCAGCTCACACGCTGTGCTTGGGCTGGGCTGGAAACATCACAGGGGATCATGAATTGGGCTGAAGAAATGCTGAAGAATGTCATGTTTGCTGATGATGCTGATGAATATTGGGTGGTATTCTTCAAGGACGTCCCTACCTATCTCCCCGATGGAATGATACTTCCCTGCAACCTCAAGCGTGAGGACGTACGCGATGCATTCATCTCTGCCATTTCAGGGTCTCTGTCGGAGCTGCCTGAAGGGGCAGTGGTCGGCACAGCTAGCCTTCGAAGACAGGCCCAGATCCTCCACAAATACCCACACCTCAAGTGCGAGAATTTCCGTGGCAACGTTCAGACACGTTTAAGGAAGCTGAAGGAGGGCGTGGTGGATGCCACGATGCTAGCATTTGCTGGGCTTAAGCGTCTCGACATGCAGCAATACGCCACTGCTATTCTTGAATTCGATGAGATGTTGCCTGCTGTGGCTCAGGTGAGGCAGCGGTCCCAAGATTGTCCATTGTTCAGGAAAGAAAAAGGCCACATATTGGGCACCCTGCTCCTGTGCAACATTTGTGGTGTGGGGTAAAGAAGGCAGTCATCCATAGTTGGCAGCAAGTGCATTGAGGGGCACGTATGTGGCAAGGACAGTGGCTTGGCTGTGGTATGGTGTTCAGACAGCAAAACTCAAATGGAACCATATCCAGTCTGATGTCAGTAACGGGGAAACGCCATGAGAAACAAAATGGCAAGACTGCATCTGGTCTGGGGACATATCTTATTTGTGAAAACCCAGTGGTGTGGTATGCTCCTTGGTGAGTGCCACAACGTTCATTCTCTGCAAACACAAACTTGGTTGCAAGTTGTATCTGACAGGTGCGCTGTGCCGTACACTACCAGAACCCAGTGTCACACTGTATCCAAGAACGGCACTCCTGCAATTTTGCATTGTTTAAACTGAACCTCGCGCAACAATTGGTGGCAAATGTGCTGGAACAGTCCAGAAATTGTCCCAGCTAGCTGCTGCCCACACATACAGTAGTGGAGGTTTCCTGCTCCAAATTTGTGCCAGTGCTCACTGGGTATCCTTGTGCGTGTTGTTCATGCTGCAATCCCAACGGGTTTAGGAGATACGCATAGCAAGCATTGAATGCTTTGAAGTCTCCGCTATTATTCCCTAAAATAGTGTGCATGTTTAAACGAGCTTGTGGAGACTAGAGTGGAGTAGCAGAGCACAGTTGGCCTTGGGGGACATCGATGCCCCACAGGAAGGTCTTTTCTGTTTGGCTTTGCAATGTAACCCCAAGTTTGGAGCAGACAAACATAGTATAATTTTCTGGTTGCAGCCTTGTGCCCATCATCGTCTGCAAGCTGCAGAGGCGGTGTTATGCCATTGTTGGCAACCGTCATCGTGTAATTTAAACACAAGCACGGTTTTTTTATTCCACCACTGCTGCCACCACCTTGCCACATACAGGCAGGCAACACAACCAAGGCGTCCATCCCTGCTCCCATTCGTTCCCCCATTTCCCTGTCTATGCCATCTGAATGCCACAATGTATGCATCGCTGATACTTGCACGTGTCCTGTTCCAGGGTGCCATTGGCATTGCCTGCCGCGGGGGCGACGATGCCATGGGTGCCTACCTGGCAGCCCTCAACCATGAGCCCACCAGGGTCGCTGTGATATGTGAGCGGGCTTTTCTGACTGCACTGGATGGATCGTGCCGGACGCCCATCGCTGGCCATGCACGCCAAGCCAGCGATGGTTCTCTCTACTTCCAGGGGAATGTAGCAACACCAGATGGGAAGAGGCTGCTGGAAACAACACGGACCGCCACCTTTAAAGCGGCAGAGGCAGAGAAGGCCGGTGACGATGCGGGGCAACAACTCAAGGCTGAGGGTGGGCCGGACTTCTTTAATTGGTAGCCGAGAGGAGGAGGAGCTAAGGGGATTGGATTGGTTGTTTCAGTGACTTTGGGGCAGAGGGCCAAATTTAGGGAGTTTAGAGAGAAAATGACTGCCATCAGGTGATATGTGGCACCCCCTGTGGCCAATGCAGCGGCTCCATGGGCAGCAAGGGGGACTGGTGTTCAATGGTCTTCTTTGATCGTTGGCCGAGCACATCCTCTCTCATCGGAAGGCCCAACGGAAATAGCAGCAACACGTGACCAACCGAACATTTCCAACGGTTGGTCACGCGTTGCCGCTATTTCAGTTGGGCCTTCCGACGAGAGAGGATGTGCTCGGCCAAGAGTCCCAGCGCTAGGTTGTGCGCTGGCTGCATATGAGATGCCCACCCACTGATCACAATAGGACTCTTTGCAACACAGTCTCTATGAAGCAACACCCACAAGCTCAACATGCTTATGATGAGGACAAGCAAATGATCCTTAATAGGAAAGATCACAGCCAAGGTCACTGTTGCTGGGCCATGTCTGCAGTGAAGAACCGAAAGCAGTGCTGACTGAAAGGGCATGTGCACTCTGTCGTCGATGGGGAAGCGAACCGTATTGGCTGCACTTCTGAGCCTGTTCATAAAAGGGCGATCACCAATGGCAACAGCCGTGGCCCCCGCATGAGAAAATCGTCCAGAACAGACAGTGAACGCCGAATTGTATACCCAATGGTGCCCGGTGGTACTGTGGCAATGGCCAACGGACACCTGTCCTGTCCTGTCCTGCTGTGGCTGGGCGCTGGGGACATTGGTGCGTACCAACACCTGATTGATGCGAACGCACCGCACCAGGGGCACCGTGTGCCCGACTCGACATGCTCTAGTGTCAGCTTCGCGGCAGCGTCCGCTCCGCACATCACACAGGCGTACAAAATCGTGTCCTATCCCACGGTGTCCCATGTTTCGGCACTCGCCGCGCAGCACGTTTGCCGGGCCCTCCGCTGCGTGGCGCCCCGCGCCGCCGTCGGACGACACCAACACGCCAACGTTGCGGCACAGCCCGGCGGGGCAGCGGGCCGCAGCCCGGGACGCGATGGGCAGCGTGGAAGGGCCCGCGCATCCCCGGCCCAGAAACCTGGCCCAAGCCCTGAGCGAAAGCACCCGCACCGTACCGCCGAGCAAATGTGTCGCCATTCAACGTTATGTGCACCTGGCTCGCACGCTAGTCAATCAGGTAATGGGATGGTGATGGCTGAGAAGGGGATACAATCTTGCCAGGCCGGATCGAAGCGTGAGGTGCGCGAATCAGTTTGCCTCGTTTTTGCCAAGGTTTGTGATGGGCATGCCACAGGCCAGCAAGTACGAGCACGTGGGGAACCAGGAACAGCAATACGTGATGTTGTTGCGTTTCGCGAGGTGAGTGGCACTTTTGTTTGCAGGACTCGACTAGGCGTTCGTGTGGTGATGCAATGGACTTGTGGCCATTACGTTTTCTTTGGCTGTATCGTCTTGTGGCCCAGCACTGAGATTCATCACGCAATTTTTCAAACACATGTCACTTTGGCTCTTGATGCAGCCTCATTGTAGAGACAATTCCGCAGCACCCAGATTTCCATGGCAAGGACAAGATGTATGCAAGAATGAAGCAGGTCAGTTGAGATACTTCGAGTGGCTCTCTAGGGTTGAAATCCCATCAGTCAGGCCTTACACTTCGCACTTGGGATGGTTGCAAGCCTTAAAGGCAAATATTGAGTTAGTGATGCCATGGGAGCACTCAGCAATTTTTTGTACCAAAAAGAAGACTAGCGTCTGAATGAGCTTTGAAATATCCGGCTCATAACACCAAAAAGGACTCTACTTCGGACAAGTTGTCCTGATAAATACTTTGGAGCATGCCCTAGCAAGGACTATGTCTGGGAAGAATCTGCCAACGTGCTTAAACTTAGACACACGAGAATCAACGACTTCTTGACTTTGGACTTGAATATCCCAAAGCTGTATGTGAGGACAACTCTATAATGCTCCTCAGTGCTTTTGGACAGCTGGGTCGTCGGCTCGGTGATGGCAGTGCTCCAGTTCATTGTTGTACATGATGCGATTGGCAACTTGCCGCCTTGGCCTCACTGCACCATGGTCTTTGGGGTGCAACAGTAAGTCACCAGTCACAGGGCATACCTTTCAGTATAACGTTGACTTGGATTTGAAGCCAAACACCTCGTGTGTGATTCATGGCGAAGTGTAATGTGTGTGAGGCAGCCTGCTTGTGTGATGTGTGTCCAGCAAATTTTGGCCCCAAATACCCCAGTTTGGACAGGGTAGCCAGAATTTTGAGAACCTGATATTAGCTGTGAATGATGCCCCAGATACAGAAGGCTGTGTGTGAAGTGGTGTTGCGATTAAAAACTGTCAGTCACAAATTGCTCTTAGCATCAGCTGTTGCGATCCGGTACAGCATTCTCTTCAGTGCAGATGGCCATCTGTGGAGCACATTACCTTCGGTATTGTTCTGTTCAGGTGCTCACTGAGCCTCGTGTGTGCCCTTCGCCATTTGACAGCAACTGGCCAATTACTACCTCCCAAAGTTGGAGTCTCTGAAGGTTGCACTCTCACAACAGCAAATCACGGACCAACGCCCTCAGCCTGCCCATCCGTACCCTGAGGGTGTCCACCAGATTGGCCTATCAAACCTCCCTGGACTCAATTGGGGTGTCGGAGGGACAACACCTGCCTTTCCAGCTGCCCCTGGCCTTCCCAGTCAAGGACAAATGGCTGCCATCCCTGGGCAGCCTGGTGCTGGGGGAATGGCACCCCCGCCAGAAATTACAATAAATTCCACCCATGCCGCCAGGAGTACCACCATGAACCGGCACGACCTCATGGGCAACTCATACAACAGGGGCAGCGCATTGGCAGGTGCTGCGGCTGTGGGGACAGCTGTTGTAAGCCCACTTATTGGAGTGCAGTACCCTGCCGTTGATGTGCCTTCAGCTCCCATCGATGTGCCGTCAGCTCCTATGCTGCCGTCCAATGATGGGCCTGTGCCCTCTGCTCCTGTCCTGGATGGCCTCGTTGAACAGCATTCTCTGATGGATTCTGCACCAATGCACTACCCCGTGGGCATTCCTGCATCAAATGCAGTCGCTCCTAGGCCACATTTGGAGCTCCAGCTTGGGCCTCAGCAGATGCAGGTGAGCTGAATGGGATTCTTAGGAACTGAGCTGAATTTATCTTTGAAGAAGCGATGTTGGATATGCATCTTTGTTGTACTCAGAGCCAAAAACCAGTCATCCGGTGGACTACCACCTCTTTGTAAAAGTAAGCTAGGCCCTGTTTGCGGTGCGGCACTAAAATAGACAAGAATGAAGCCAGTAATAGAGGGCATGCATGAACACAGCAGACTATATACTCAGCGGGGGCGTTGTGCAGAACGAGTCGTGGTTGTTCATCAATGCACCAGAGTATCGTAGCGATTGTCCATCGTCACAAAAGGCAGAGACCTCTCAAATGAGATGTGCGCCAGCTTGTGTGTGTGTGTGTGTGTGTGTGGTTGTCTGGTGGTTGAAAGGGCTCTTGGTGGAGGCAGTGTAAGGGTCACAACTGTGGATGTTGTAGCACAAGTTTTTTCTCTTTGTCCTTGGAGCGACTTCATTCAGCATCTATTTCCACCCTTCGACATACAACCCTTAGGCTCCAGCACTGGACAATGCAGGGCAGGATATCGATGTCTTGGCATTGACCATTTCTGTACCCTAAGTGGAGTAGCTTGGTAAACATCGTTTGCTTGGTAAATGAACCTGCCCTCAGTAAAGCTTCACACAATCACTAGCACAGGGATCATTGTTATCTGATGACTTGGCAACAAAGGCTACCTTCTCAAGCTGATTGTGACATCACCACAGAATGTACATGGCTGTGAGGTGTTGAACAACATGCTGCTGTTCCTGGCTGTACAAGAGACAGCAACTCAGTGTGAGCAGTCCAGAAGGGTCACCACAAACAGGAGCATCAGCAGTGCTAAGGCATCGCACTACTGCACCTGTGCCTTTACTGCAATTGAACATGCCCAGCACTTGTGTAGTGGGCGCTTGCTGATCTGATTCTGTGCAGATCTTGCCAACTGCCAGGAGTCCCCGCTGAGGACTGGCAGATAACGTGTGGACCATGGGTGAGCAGGCTGTCATTGTTGTTGAACACAAAGTTGTAACAAGATTTATTGTGCTACCAGTCAGCCCACAAGGCCTGCTGCCCATGCGATTTCACCATTGTCTTCTTTTCGTGTATCGGTTTGATCGTAGTGTAGCTGAGAGTTCCTCAGGGAACAGTGCATGCATACCCAAAGACAGATTGGCTATGAACATCATTGACTGCATTTGGCTGTGTCAGGTGCAGACTCTGCCAGCACCTGTGTCGGCAGAATTTATGCATCCCAGGACCGATTTCCTATCCCAAAATCTCAGTCCCACAGGAAGGCATGATGGCCACAGAGAGGTACACATATCCCAAGAGATGCTGGAAGTGTTCTTGCAGTTTGCAGCGACGAACACACAATTGAGGATCGAAACTTGCGCCCTCCTAGCTGGTGAGCAAATGCTTGGTACTGATGATGTCGCGGATTTGCATTGTGTGAACTGGCAATCTACAAACGTGCACAGGGTTAGGTTTCAGAAGAATGGGCCACAGATCACTGTCGTTGGTAGAGTTTGCTAGTCGGTTCAGCAAGTGGTAGTTCTGTGAACCTCAACAGTACTATTGCTGCTGGTGGGCATTTATCAAAGCAAGCTGCAAGAAATGGTGCATCCTTAGGGCTGATACACATGCTGTCAATGTTATCCTCAAGCTGCTGGTAAATTCTAAGCATGTGTTATTCTGTTGGCGAGTGCTTGTCAGTTAGTGGTTGTGTTCTGGATTGCCTGGATGCCACTGCCTATTATCAAAGCTAATCCTATGTGGACATTGGCATTGCCATGACAGTGGAAGGCACAGCGCAACACAGCTCAGCGCCACAAATTCTAACTCCACAGCGGTCGTGTTTATGTGTTCCCCCCAATTGCTGTGCTGTGAGCATCTCGCAGACCTCTTCAGGCAGGATATGTTCGTGAGAGCTGATGCATTTTAAATCTGCTTTGGTCGCCTTTTAGGTGAGCTCATAGCAGAGCAAGGCCTCCTCCGCATCACAAAGCTGATATTTCCAAAGCAGAAAGGCCACACAGACCGTGTGGAAATGATGAATGAGGAGGAGATTGTGGACGAGGTGCTTGGAGAGGACCTCATCATGATGGGCTGGATCCACACCCACCCCCAGTTCGATTGCTTCTTATCGTCGATCGACGTGCACACAACGATGAGCTATCAGATCATGCTGCCAGAAGCGGTGGCAATCGTGATGGCGCCAAAAGATCAGCGGCGCAAGTGTGGCATCTTCAGGTTAACAACGCCTGGTGGAATGGATGTGATCAAAACCTGTAATCTACGGGGTTTTCACACACACCAGGCACCATCGACTGGGCAGGAGATTTATGAGGTGTGCCAACACGTGTACCTGAATCCTCGGTTGAGAGTCAGCTGCAAAGATTTGCGTTAGTGGCATCTGTGCATGGGGTCGACAGAGGGCGGGAATAAAGGTGCAGAAAGGTTGCTGACAATGACAACTGTCTAGCGTTGGTGCTGAGGCAGGAGGTCCACGTTGTCTGGATTTAGTGGAATTGTAACATCAGGGATGCTATCTGTGCGTCTTGGCCTCACTTCAGACACCTTGTGTCTGGGAATAGTCGCATCACCCAGTACTGTAAACGGTGTAATCCCAGATTGGAGTAGGAACGGCTGACACTGGCCTCAGCATGATGCGTTGCGTATGCAATGCTGGAAGCCACACCGGACCAATTCACCAAAGCCAAGACCGTGCCAATTGTGTGAGCTGATACGCCATCAAGATCCAGCACATCGTCAATTCACTTCTGGTGAATTAGGTAATACATAATCTCTTAGCGTCACAAGTTCCCCCCTCCTAGCGTCAAATCGACGCTAAGCGTAACAATTTCCAATCAACCAAGTAAACAGATGCAACCACGAACCCGATTTGCATGCTTGTCACCATCTTCTGCCCCCCCACCGGTTCTTGAAATGTAGCACAACACTGGCGAAGGTACCATTCCAAGTTTTGCAACGCGCTCAACAGACCAGGTACCACGCTCCGTCCTAAACGACCAGGTGCAGGGTTTTGGTATATTTCAGGATCGTGCTGGGGCAATGTCGCGCACCAACGGCTGGTCGTGCTGAAGGTATGGAGTTGAATGCAACAACCATAATGCAGACCGCCATGCTGCGTGTCACTCGTGTGAGCGAGTGGGTTGGGAATGTGTACGGATATTGGTCGTATCGTTTTGCGTTCCCTGCAATAGATATGTCAGAAAGAAATCCGCGAGGATGCTGCGAGTTAATCCCTGGCCCAATGGAGTATAATACTCGAAATATTATACAACAACCATCCAGGCAAAATAAGAGTGAGGAGCCCCCCAAATGTTCATTGGAGTACATGACAGAATGCAAAATGACCAACATGGACTAAAAGGTAGTGCATCTCCAAGTCTGAGACACACCGAAGTCAAGCAGGAGTGACGCAATCGGTGTCAGGACAAACAAGCACGCCCAAGAAAACAAAATGTGGAAGTTTGAAGTACACGACGGAATACAAATAACCAACATCGAACACAACGTCGTGCAGCTCCACAGTTTGAGATACACCGAAGTTGAACACGAGCCAAGGCAGCGCAATTGGTGTTAGGACAAACAAACATGCCGAAGAAAACAAAATGTCAAAGTCTGGAGTACAAGACGAAACGCAGAATGACCAACACAGAATGAGAGGATACGAAGGTTTTGTGATGCGACCCTAATAGCTAGAAACCCACAAGGCGCAATGCAAGAAGAACTGCAGCAACATCTTGCTCGGCGACCACCGAAAACAAACAAGAATGCTAAAACCGTGTGGAACAAGAGAACAATCATGACCCAAGAGACAAGTTTTCAAAGGAGGATTTTGCATTCGACTAGAATGTGCAGCCCACCCTCGCTTTCCAGTCAAATGCAAAACCCATGTTCGTTTTGAAGGGTGGGTCTGGCATTCGACTCGAATGCGAAACCCACATTCGCTTTCTAGTTGAATGCAAAACCCGTGTTCGTCTTGAAGGGTGGGCCTGGCATTCGACTCGAATGCGGAACCCACCCTTCATTCCAGTCAAATGCAAAACCCAAGATCGTTTACACAATATCTTCTAGGGCGGCGTTTCGCAGGCGCGTTTTGCATTCGAGCGGAATGCAAAATTTGGGCCCAAAAATTGACTAGAAAACAGCTCCACGCATCTTCCACTGTATGAAATGGGAAGATGTTGTCACCAGGTCTCCGCGGGCGGCGTTTCGCAAGCGCGTTTCGGATTCAAGGCGAATGCGAAAGCCGACCCAAAAACAGACTGAAAACCAGCTCTGCGCAAAACAAAACTGTGTGGGCGTAGGAAACTGTTGTTACCAGGTCTTTTGGGGCGGCGCTTTGCTGGCGCCCTTTACATTCGAGTCGAATGCGAAACCGGACCCAAAAGAAGGGCTGGAAACCAGCTCCAGGTACTTTCCACTGTATGGACGTGGGATAATGTTGTCACCAGGTTTTCGTGGGTGGCGTTTTGCAAGCGAGTCGAATGCAAAACCCTATCCCAAAAGCGGACGGGAAACCAGCTCCGCCCGAAACAGAACTGTGTGGACAGAGGAAAATATTGTTACCATGTCTTCTAGGGGGGCATTTTGCTAGCGTGTTTCGCATTCAAAACGGATGTGGACCCCTACACGAAAACAGACTGGAAGCCAGCTCCACCCAAAACAAAACTGTGTGGACGTAGAAAAAATTGCTTCTATGTTTTTAGGGTAGCGTTTCGCCGGCGGTTTTTGCATTCGAGTCGAATGCAAAACCCAACCCAAGAAATAGACTGGAAACCAGGCCACGCAGCTTCTACTGTACGGGCGTGCTAAAATGTTGTCATCAGGTCTTCTTGAGCGGCGTTTTGCAAGCGTGTTTCGTATCTGAATCGAAACCTGACCTGGAAAGCGGACTGGAAACCAGCTCCATCCGAAACAAAAATGTGGACGTAGGAAAATGTTGTTACCAGGTCTTTGTGGGCAGTGTTTTGCTCGCACGTTTTGCATTCGAGTCGAATGCGAAACCCGATCCAAAACCAGATCTTCCCAAAACGAAATTGTGTGGACGTAGGAAAATGTTATTACCAGGTCTTTTGTGGCGGCGTTTTGCTGGCGCGTTTTGCATTCGAGTTGAGTGCAAAACCCAAACCAAAAAATAGATTAGAAACCAGCTTCACGCACCTTCCACTGTATGGACATGTGAAAATGATGTCACCAGGTTTTTGTGGGTGGCATTTTGCAAGCGTGTTGTGCATTCGAGTTGAGTGTGAAACCTTACCCTAAAAACACACCGAAAACCAGGTCCACCCCAAAACAAAACTGCGTGGATGTAGGAAAATTTTGTTCCTAGGTCTTCTAGGGCGGCGTTTTGTGGACACGTTTTGCATTCAAGTCGAATGGAAAACCCCAAAAAATGGACTAGAAATCAGCTCCACGCAGTCTCACTGTATTGACGTGGGAAAATGTTGTCGCCAAGTCTTCGCTGGTGGCATTTCGCAAGAACACTTCATATTTGAGTGAAGGCCAACTCAAAGAATGGACTAGAAACCAGCTCTACCCGAAATAGTAGTGTGTGGACGTAGGAAAATGTTGTTGTTAGGTCTTCCAGGGCGGCGTTTTGCTGACGCATTTTGCACTCAAGTCGAATGCCAACCCCAACCCAAAAAACGGACTGGAAACTAGTTCCACACGGATTCCATCATACGGACATGAGAAAATATTGTCACCAGGTCTTCGTTGGCTGCGGTTCACAAGCGTGTTTTATATTTAGTCAAAACTCGGCCTAAAAAATGGACCACAAATCAGCTCCACCTAAAACAAAATTGTGTGGACATAGGAATATATTGTTACCAGGTCTTCTAGTGGGGCATTTCATGGGCATATTTTGCATTCGAGTTAAATGCAAAACCCAATTTGGAAAATAGTTTGGAAACTAGCTCCGCCCCAAATAAGTTTGTGTGGGCATAGAAAAATATTGTTACTAAATATTCTATAATGGCATTTGCCTTGCGTGTTTTGCATTCGAGTCGAATGCAAAACCCGACCCAAAAAATGGATTGGAAACTAGCTATTGGTGTTGTCCCCCCTTGGCCGCGTCCAGGTACACTAGCCCACATGCTAGGGCCTCTCCAGCAGAAATGTGGTCGTCCTCAACCGGATGGCGTGTCCGGGGCTCTCTCTGGCCCATGGGTGATGGCCGCTCTGCGCGGTCCCGTCCGATGTGCGCGGCTATTGCACTCGAGGAGGCAGGGAGGCTCCAGAACAATCAATTGCTACAACATGGCGTGGCCATGCACACACTTATATCCTGTGGCACATAATTCTATTATACTCTATTAAACTCATTAATCTTATTATCTCCAGCAGCCAGGGGCTCTGCCCCCAAACCCCCCTGTTTTGCGAGTACCCTTTGGGGACCTCTGCATGGCCTCGCTCTGCTCAGCCGAGCCCAGCCCCCTAAGGGACCTTGCAAGACATAGTCCTATGAGTAGTTTGCATAACAATTTGCACTACATTATCACACTAGCCCTATACAACTTCCACTGTACGGTTGTGGGAAAATTGTTACGCGCAGTGGCCTGATGTGGGGACGCCCTACTATTGGCTCCTTGGTGTGGGGGACGCCCTACCCAAGGCATGGTAACAACACCCCAACCAGCTTATATAATAGGATATGATACAGGAGTAGGTTGGGGTGGTGATATGAAAAGATTGTGGGTGTGGGGCTCCTGCCCTCTTTGAGCCATGGACCCACCTTGCCGGGCACCTAGGTCCTTACGGGGACCTAGGCGGGACCACCCCTCCTACTCCCGTATCCTAATACCTAGAACGGTTATGATGGGTTGAGGATTATGTATCTTGGGGGCAGGGCGTCCCCCACACCAAGGGCCATGAGCAAGGCGTCCCCTACATCAGGCCACTACGCGTAACATTCGTCCCCCTCAGGGAGAGGGGCGTCCTTGTCCCATTAAGTGAATACGGGAGTAGAAACATAATTGTATACGCCGCAACTGGCTGTGCGATTTGCCACATGCCCAGTTAGCGTGGTTGCAATGCAACTGTAATGAAGAGAAAGAGTGGTTGTTATATAACCTGTCGGCCTCCCTACAACCCTCATTAAAACTCTTCCTTTAACCCATAGGCTGGAATGTTGAGTCCCTGGCCTTTCGGCCTGTGTCCACTGCTGAAAAATCAAGTCATGCAGGTCATCTTGCTCGGCCTCGGCCTCCACTGGCCATCCAACCCTGGCCTCCTCGAGGGTGTTGTTGCTGTCACTGTGCCCTCGGACGCACACGAGTTGGGGCTCTCGGGGGGTTTACAAGAAGGCCGTCATGGTCCACCCTCTCCCCGCTCAAAATTGCAAGGGACATAGCATTCATTTGTCCAAACAACGTGTGT